GCACAAAGTTGCTCGAAGGGTGAATATCACCTATACCGTGAATAGACCACAAAGGTAAATAGACATGAATGGACCACGAAGGTAAATGACACGACCAAACATGATAATCAAGACATGGAAGTCGTGTGCAGCATACTTTACATCTTCCTCGTAACGGTGCCGATTTTAAAGTGACATATCAATTTTCCTCATTCGTGCTTCGCATATAGATTCCCCCTGTATGAGAGATCCGCCAATTTTTTGTGGGTAGCTTCATCAACAACGCCATTCTCCATGTTAACGTCGGACACATTGCCACCACTTTCCGACACATGGCCCTCGAAATTCGCGGTTTCTCTCAGTTTTGGGGGTTTCCTTTTGCACTTTGACACCACTGGCTTAGACAAGTGTGCACGAATATTCGGGAAAATTCTAAGAACAGCATCAGTCTTAGGCACCCACCTACTACACAGAATCTTTACCATGTTTCCGCCTACGATGTGCTCATAGCAAGTGATCAGGTCCTTGGATCCTAAATGTTATTCGCAAATGTAGGTCTTGACTGTCACCTGGAAGGCTTTTCGTGGAATAGCAGATGTCCAGGCCCTGAGAACTCCAAGGTCGTATGAGGGTTGGAAGAAGTACCACCAATCGCACGCATTTTCCTCAGAATCATAGTCACTGCCATAGCCCAGCGTGCTGCAGGTCAGCATGTTTACTATGATAAACAGCTCATTGACACATGCACGCTTGACCATGGTGTCACATGTGAAATTCATTTTGCCATGACCGCAATCTAACCTTCAAGCTAACGCCTCTGTGATCTCAGCAAGCGAACACCAACAAAAAGATTTGACGCTGCCGCGGGAAGCCAGCGGCGGTGACTCAATCTCCATGCTACACCAGCGCCACCCTTGGAGCCGATAAGGGTTGATGTCGCCTCCGAAGCAGGATTTTTCAACTGACAGTATTTAAAAATGTTGTCAGCAATGCTCCCCTGAGAGCTGTGGGGTACAACCAGGAGAGGAGCTCGGCCAAGCGATGTTATCCTTGTGAGGAAGCGAAAGATGTCCTGCGAATTCGCTCCGTACAGGGTTCATCCCAAGGACGAGTAGTACAGCCACTGCAGGGACACCACGCTGTAGTCACGTGATACTGCAGGGACCCAACGGTGTAGCCGACAGCCGTGCACCTGTGAGGCGACAGACTTCACAGACACGATGAGCCTCGAGAGCCGCCGCCACATCAGGCTTTGGACCTGTACTGTAAACATCTTTTTAGGTTGTGTATACATTGTGTAAGGGAGCATAGTTTATCATGTATTCTGCTCCTTGAGGTTTTTCATAATTCTTTGTTTTCCTTGAAGATTTTCGGTGCTCCTTTTGTTCTTTTGTCGTGCATAACATCTAGAGACCATGACAGTAGCCAATGCTCAGTGTTGCTCGGTCAACGATAATATTTGGCTAGATTTGGTGGTTTACACTTCCAATTGACAATAATCACGGAAATGGCAATTTATGCACAGCCAGGTGCACCAGGTCAGATTGGCGCAGAATGGCGCAATCGGCACAGCACTTCCACCCCTGCATTTATGAACCTTGATAACCATGACCCTACTTAACGTGCTCAAGAAAGAAACACTAGTTTTACACAGTGTCTATGGATTGAGGCCAGCTGGCACACCGAAATTCATATACTTGCATTTGTGTATGTCGGTTGACATGTGACAAAATGTGCTGGTTCATACTTTTATTTACCCATCAAAATTGTTGAAGCGGTAATAAAATGTCACAGTTAACCCCAAGAGCAAACATAAATCACCATTAGAAGCAGGGCTAGTGCATGGAGTAGCTCAACATAATGCTGGCATTGCTAAACTGAGCTGCTGCGGTGACCCATCGGTTGATCCAAACGAAGTGGTGGAAAGGACACAAAGCTACGAGCCATCAGCTGTATAAAATACCGTGCGGGAAACATGCCTGTGCGCTCAGTTCCTACCGCTCCGGCTTCCCTAAATGCGCGCAACAATTCCCTCTGCTTCACTATTCACCGCCCACAAAACTTATACAACAAAAAATGTTCCTGCAGTGTCTATTCATCGAATGGTGAACATATAAGACCGAATTTCGCTGTAATGCATGCCACTAATTTTGCCGAGTAATTTGTTTGTTTTGTTCCTGTTGTCCTAAATACAATCCGAGTGATATTGTGCACCGACTTGCCGAGCCTGCATGCATTCGATGCTTGACCTAAGATTATATTTTGTTTGTGCTATTCACTGTTAGGTCTGACTTGCCCTTTACACCACGATTGGAGTTTGCAGACCCGCTACCTAGGCTTACTCTGAATGATCCGGACTTTCATGGGGCCTTTCAGGAAGCTGAAATGCTAGCCCTTGGCACCTGCCCGGTGATTGCCTCCCACAACAGAATTAGCGACACTAGGCTTTGTTGCTTCCCTGAAAGCCAGCAGCTCTAGTTACAGTGACGTGCATGGCTATGATGGGTGGGCACATCAAATGGAAGCCAGTGGTGTGTTTCAGGCCCAGACCAAAGTGTACCCAGAGCTGGAGGTTCACTCTCATCACTGCTGCTACAAGAGTACACCCAAATTTAAACTATCAAGAGGGTTCCCAAAGATAATGCTGAAGCTTATCTCTCGTCTTTCTGGCATGCTAGTGTCAACAGCGACGTATATAAATGGCATTTTCACTGCATACAACACGAAAATGCTTTTAGTGATCCTCCTGATCCCTTTATCGTTAAGGGGGGAGGCTACCTTGGAAGGGCAACTTTTTAGAGTGTGGGTCGTTCCCCCAAGTAGTATTTCTAGTAGCCACTTCTAGTTAGTTTTAAGAATTGCTAATTAGATGGCATTTTGTGTATGTGTCCTTGGAAATAATATTACTAGATGGCGTTAGTGGTTTCTGCATAGCTGAAGATATGCATGAAGTGAAGGATGAGAGGGGCGAATCGTCCGTCCGATGCGTGCTCTAGTGCGATAGAAGCGGACGGATAGATGAACCCTTCACCCCATTCATCATTCACTTCGTGGATATGCTGTGAATTTTTTCGTTTGTTGAGATTTAAATTTTTAGGGTAAGCTAATGGCGAAGCCGTTTGAATAACAAACTTTTATGTATGTATGGTCGCTGGTTCCCAAGTTACAGTCATTTATCAGGATTGTCCACATAGATTTCTTAGGCTCTGGTGAATCTGGTAGATGTGCTAGCACTAACACAACTATGATTCCTCGATGGGCGCTCCCAGAGCCCCCCCCTTTTTTTATTTTCCTTGCTGAATATTTTAAGCAGAGCACTGGATTTAGTGTTTGCCATTTGGCTTTTATCAGTGAAATTTTAATTATCACAAATTACAATGAATTTAAAAAGCAGCTTTGTTTTTGTGTGGGCAATTTATTAAGGTACATAATAAAACAATTCTGATAGAAATCAGACGAATGGTCCCAGAGATATCATCCAACTAAACAGCCCCACTGGCAAAAAATAAGTGATTCTGACAAAATTGACTTCGAATGTTTTGAACACATATTTCAGTCTAAAATGATCCTGCACAGTAGCTAGATGTGTCCTTTTGTACTCTTTTTCTTTTCCACTTTTCATGTTTGTGTTGCACCCGCATTTTGATGCTTTTTTTCAGACGAAGAGAGTCTTTCTTGGCAATGCACCGGTCAACGGCATAGCACCAAGCTTTTTTTCGCTATCCTCCGTGGCTAACTCCTTGCACGTCCAAAAACGTGTATGCAAATGCACAGTTGACGACGCAGTCACACTGTTCAGGGCCGTAATCACTGCAGTTAGCGAGTGTGAACGCATCAGGTACACTCGAGCACAAAAGATGCACTCAAGCACAAAACACCAACAGCAGCCTCAATTGTGACGATGAAGGCTCACGGCGATGGGGTAGCAATCTTGATGTCGCCATAAGCGTCGATGCAGTCACTGTCTTGAAGAGATGAAGCAATGCCTACTCCATCCAAAGCATCGATGTGACTGTTGTCGCATGTTGGCGCGTGAGTGAGCCTCGCCATGGGTATAAGGTTTATCTGACGCTATCTTGCACCTAACACATGTCGACTCCCCAACTTTGTTATGTTCATCGTTACTGACAGCACGACAATCAGCGTCCCATGAACACGGCGAAAGATAATAAAGACAGTGAAAAATTGAAAAGCACAAGTGAGAACTGACCGGGATGATGGCAAACGGAACACAATGAACGCCAGCACTGCATGTGCCAGGGCAGACGACAAGTCTGAAGATACTGGGCGAACAGATCCGTCATTGCCTGCAGCAGCCAATACGAGTTGCGTGATCCCAGCTCTGTCAAGAGGTGCGCTTCTTCCAATCGCGACTTCACACCAGTTGCAGGAGAATTCGAAATTTCCAAGTCCCCTCCCCCCCCCCCCTAGTCATGAGCGATTCCTGCCTTGGCGACATCGCTGCTACTGCTGCGGGTCGCTAAAACCAAAAAACAAGGTCAAGAATTCAAGAGCAAAACAATGCCAAGATGGCAGCACTAGGCCACGTGATTCGGGAATTGCAAGCGTGCGAAGTTGGGGTATTTTCAGCGCTCGCTTATCGCTCATACTTTCGCGATGAATTAGACATTGATATTTACAGGACAGATAGTTTATGAGGCATACTACCCGAATGTGCGGTTTCCAAAAAAAAAAAAGAGACTTTTTCACGACTTTTTGGTTTTCAAATGGCGCGTCCCCTTTTAAAATGCAATTCACTTTTTTGTTTTTCAGGCTAAGCCTTTCTTTGACATGAAACAAGCAGTAGTACGAAGCACATGGAATGCTATTTCACTAATCCGCATCAGCCTGTTGGCCTGTAGCGTCCCTTCGAAGAAGAATTGCTCCACTGTCACAGTGAATGCTCCAAGAGTGGACATGACCTTGAAGAACACGTTTTGAATGTAAATAAGTGTACTCTCACTGTGAGAAGACTGCAACCCAGGAAGCATAAAAATGACTCTGGCACGCGTGTCACTTGCCTTAATATGAGTGAGCTGGTTGCCATAGTCTTGAATAGCTTTTGAAGTCAGCGCATGGTTGCAATCTTGGCTCACTATGATGGGGAACTGCTTCTTGGAAGGTCGGTACCTGTATCAAGGCAAGCATGAACATGACTCAGCATGGTTAGGCGCATTCCCAAAATCATCATTATTACTGTGCATTATTACAGACTGGTTGCACCATGCAAGTTCCACCTTGTAGACTCTATATGTGTGTGACGTTCCTCAATGAATGACCACTTGTGAGGTGACACTGTGTAATGTCTTAATAATATCCGGCTATTATACATCCCAAAACAATTAAATGACTCGACGCTGTACTGGAGGGTTCCGGAAATTACGACATCTGGCATTCTTAGAGTGCACAGACATCGCTGCACCAGCCGTGACTGACCGTGCCACTGCCACATGACAGGCTCCTTGGAGCAGTCCGACCACCACGGCTGCAATTGTACGACACACTTGTTTTAATTAAATGCTTGTTTGGATGCGTACTACAGCGTCAGAAGGCACCTACTGTCAGTGCTGCCCAAGACTGTGGCTGCAAGAATCGAATAAAATGCCAGCGTTGTTTGGGGACAAACTAAAATATTTTGATATTCTTATGAGAAGAGTGAAGAAGTTTGTGGATGGCAGAATTTGACGTGTCAATAGAATGGCTTAAATTTAATACAAGCCGAATGCAAGTCATCTTTCACACGACGTAATGCTTGCCATTCATGGAGACATCTAGTGATGTTGGCCCACTTATATCTTACAGAAAGTGTTTCTGTACAATAAAGTTTGTGCATGTGCACTTTTAGGCTGGCAAGGTATTGCAGTGCTTTCCACGCGGTAAATTGGCCCTGCTACTTAAGCACTAATACTAAGGCAAAGGGTAATTGTTAGCTGCAGGTGTTTCGTGATCGATCTTAATGACATGGGGAATAGACTGCAGCCTCCACAGCAGCCCAGAGAGAAGCAAAATTCACAAGCTAGACCATGAGGTGCCGATCAAAGACACAATCGTCGCATTGTGGATAGCATAAGCTGCCCATACTTGTAAGAAGTCAAGCAGGCAATTCAAGCTAAAAAATAATGTTTGTTTGTTTTAAGGGTGTTTATTTACAAAACCAACAGCCCGACTTCAAGGGCGTGTCTCTAACACTTGCCCTGGTCCCAAAAAGGAGCCATCCAGGTGACTAAAGGCAAAGTAAGTGCAAGCACAGAACAGCTGTGTGGTTCTGTAAATAAACTGCCTTCGCAGGGTAGTCTTCGAGCTGCTCCTACTCAACGATGTCTCCATTGCCCACTTCAATACTTTAAACTATCGGCACATTTCTCAAGTCAGAAATTTGGCATAAATGATGGAAACAAATAAAAAAACATAGCCAGTGAATTTAAAGATCTAGAGACTTCAAAAAATGGCTGAAGGTGGCCTTTCAGCAAGACGCGACACGGCTTAGCTTCATCGAGGCTGTCGAGCACACTCGTCTTGTGCCTGTTCTTTGCACTAGTACCTGCTCCAGAATGAGAAGGGTGCACCAGTGCACTTCAAGGCGACACCAAGATTGACTCCTTGTGCAGAGCCCTTCTCGAGAAAGAATGTCATGCAGATTAAAGCAGAAATGACGCCACCACAAATTGCTCATGCCGCACAACTTGCCGATTGAATTTTAAAAAAAGTGCTAGTCAAATCCCTTTTATTTATTGTTTATAGGCTGCACACCCCAGGAAAAGAATTGAAGGATTGTCTTGTTCTGTAAGTTTCAGTAATTAATGTTAATTTGCATATAGTTAAGTTACATTATTGGCGATTCGCCACCTTCAATCTCAGCATGAAAATGAAATATTAGGCCCAAAATACATGCACAGCTTGTTTTTGGTTCTACCACAGTACAGTTAAGTTAAATGACAGCTAACAGCCCACCCAGGAAGCCTGCACAAATGTGCACACTGTGTTTGAAGCCATTTGAAGAAACACGCAGTGCGTGACACGCCTCCCAAGTTATGAGCCCATGTGTACACCTCGCCGCTGAATACAAACAGAGTTATTTCAACAGAGCTGGAATTCAATACCACGAAGAACTTCCACAAGCAAACATTTTGCTACAAAGTTTGAAAACTACCTCCCTAATGTATTGTACTCTGGCCGCTTTTCTACAGACGTGCTCTTGACGTCCCTTCCACTCCTTGTGCTAGGACCATCATAATGTCAGCCTGCCGTATGCTTAGGGGAACCATGCAAGCCCATCTTGTGCATTTCTAAGCAACTAAAAACTTTATCCCTACAATACATACATCTCTTCCTTCCAAATTTTGAGCTCTCGTAACTCTAGCAGTTTCATTAAAATTTGACTAATATCACTATCTCACTGAATTTTTTTTACCAATATGTCCTACATTGCAAGTTAATCTGCATGTTTCAAAAGTTGTAACAAAAACTGTGAATTCAATCATTTCAATTCTGGTGCAGTAGATGTGCGCTCTTATGCAGAAAACAATAAAAAATAATCTACTGGTTAACTGCAAATACACAGTAAATAATGGTACCTAAGTAATAAACATAATTTTGAGTTAATCGATCTAAAAGAACAAAAGCAGCTTAACCCTTTACCGCTTAGTGTCGTGAATTCGCAACATACCAAAAAACTTGAAACAAGCAAGTCACAGAATATGTGCCGCCTATAATGCCGGCAGTCAAGTACTCACGGGGAACATAGCTTTCAGAATGAAAAATCTAGCACTGTCTCGACTAATGCATTTGTTGTTAGAACAAATAGTTTTGTAGCTGATGGCGGAGTGCATGAAGCGCATGCAAGAGTGCTCACTGCTTCGTTCTTTTTCGCCTGGCTGACACAAGTTCTATCTTCAATAATTTTGTTTATTTGGTGTGTACGCACTCAAGATGTTGCGTAGTTCTGAACTACGTTTTTCGTTGCAGTGTCCACGCTTTTGTTGCATGAAGAATTCGCAACATGCATAAAAGTATCCATTAAAGGGGCCCTGTGACACCTTTCCAAAAGCCTTATTTAGCACTGTAACGCATGTAGCAATGACAGCAGAGACGAATGCAACCAGAATGATGGAAATCGGTGCACGAAAAATGAAGTTACGAGTCCTCAAAGTTCAACACTCAATCAGAAGACGAAAAACTCTTTCGCATTTCACTCACCCGCTGACATCAAAGACTGGTATAGAAATATTTAGGTCATTCAGTGCGAAATCAAAGACAGATGCACGCTTAAAGAGAATATACTAATGATTTCCTCTTCTCTGACAATAACGACTTGTCCACCACACTCAGAGATACGTAATCACAGGGGTGCGCCACATCGGATGCATCTTTTTTGTCGTCACTAATGACCACAATGGTAAGGTTATCCCTGGCATTCAGTTCAAACACTGTGATCCGCATTTTCTCGGCAAAACAATCAGCTCACAAGACGAGTTAATTACCCACAGTAAGGATTTCCCGCAGCTCGTAGAAATCGCACAACATGGTACAAATATATCTTTTCTTGCACAGCTCAGCTGGAACGGGTCAACTATGACATCAATGTTATCGGCTGCAACAACGCAGACATCGACAGGCTGTCTAGAATGACGGACTGCGCCGACAGAATTATGTCCTCAACGACGGCTATAGTCTGTTGGCACTGCGTGGGCTCCTCATAAAATGTAGACAGCAAAATTTCACCAGCGCCGCACTCTACAGTGGCACCACATTCTTTAAGAAAGTCAATCTCTAGAATAATGTTGTAAGTATTATGTCCTCAACGACGGCTATAGTCTGTTGGTACTGCGTGGGCTCCTCACAAAATGTAGACAGCAAAATTCCACCAGCGCCGCACTCTACAGTGGCACCATATTCTTTAAGAAAGTCAATCTCTAGAATAATGTTGTAAGTAGACTTATCAAGGACTGCAAACTCTGCCTTGAACAACTTTGCCCCGAAAGAAACAGTTGCAATACACACTCCCACCAGGCGCAACGGTTCTCCACTCACTGCCCGAAACATTATGCTGTTTTCCCAAGGCAACATCACTTTCTGGCCGAGTCAAGTCCTAAAACCAATACCCATAACAGAAACAGCTGATCCCGTGTCTACTAAAGCTGAAGTGGGAACACCATCTATGAGAACGCTGACCTTATTACGAAGAATAGAAACTGGCGGAGGCATGTCTTTGTGAAATGAAAAACGTCCATCGACCTCACCTACATCAGCCGCATCTAGTTTACTGGTGGAGGACGTGAGGTGAGATGTCGACGGCCTGGTGACTGTGAGGACGAAAAGAAGTCAGTGACGTCACACTCCGAATAGAAGCAGGTGAACCGCTGTGGTAGTTTAGAGGGAAGTCATTGCCGTGGTAGTTGTTCCATGGCCGGCGGTAATTACCTCGTGTACTTGTGCACCGCGGAGGTGCGGGTGGTCGTTCATACAGCAGTATAGGTGCACGACGGCGTTCCGAGCAAAAGCGAGCTGTATGTCCATGGATACCACAGTGAAAGTACGCTGGCGGTTCAGGCGCGACATGCGGCCTAAGGTAAACAGCGGGATTTTGCCATGTTATAATGTAGGGAGCTCACCTCTAGGTGCAGTCGTCTCGCGGCTCATAATTGTTGGTATAACAATGCGGATGTTCCGGGGCCCTTGAGTTGTCAAATCCCGCAGCATTGATGGCTACAAACAGGGTGTCGCACTGCAGAAAAGCTCCATAAACACATGCTGTCGATGTAGCAGCAGCGTGTTGCCGATCAAGTTCTTCACACACTACGTGCTGTACAGTTGACGCCAGATCACTAGAAGGAGGGCCCTTGTCAATGCTAGCGAGAGTAGGAACGTTAGGAAGCCGACCAAACTTTTGCGAGATGTGGGCAGCTTTAAGTGTCTCAAAGGTTTGGCAATGTCAGATGATGTCATTTGACGACTGTATGCCATCTTTGCCTATGCGGTAGTGGTAAATGTCCTCAGCGATTCCTTTGAAGAGATGGCTAACGAAATCCTTATCTGTTATGAGCAGGTCCACACTTTTTCCCAACTTCAGTACTTCCTCTATGTACATCGTGCACGTTTTACCTGGCACTTGAGCGCGCTGACTCTGCGTC